AGGCGGCCAGGTCTTGATGCTGACTCACCACCAAGCAGCAGAGTCCGTGGAGGTGGTGTGTTTCGTTATACTGTTGCAGCTAAGTGCTGAACCATTTGCACACCCAGGGACTTCTGGAACCTCAACCTAGAGAAAGGGCTTGAGAAAGGATGTAAACCCAGTGTAATCAGATCCTAGGCTCTCTGTATTTCCCAAGCGTCCTCCAAAGCTGTACTTGAAAGCCCAGTTGCCCAGGGGAGACGCTTGTGAGCAGCTAGAAGCTGTCGGGTCCGGCTGCAGGAAGAGGCAGGTGATCTCGCTGTGCCCGCTCTATCCACAATGGCTGATGAGAAGACATCTGTAATATTTGGAAAATGCTGTTTAATAGGTACACTCCTAATTGAAGATTATCATGCACGCACATGCGCACACAGGCACGCGGGCTATTGAGTTAATACCCAGGACCAAGAGGGCCTGCAGGAAGCTTTATTGATGCAAATCTGAGGCTGAGCCAGGGACTGTAAATCCTGAGCCTCATCTTGTCCCTGCTGTTTGTTACAGGGACTCAAAGCATCTCAACACGTTGGGACGGTCATCTGATTCAAAGAGCAGAGTAACAGAGCATCTCGATGGCCTCCATGCCCATCAAAGACTCCCCCAGGGGCCATTAGGAAACTCGGACTCGGGTGGTGTGGACTCCCAAGCCCTGTCACATAACTAGAGCTGATGGATAACCCTGATGGCCTTGGATCTTGGCTCTGACCATCTGCACATTTGAGATTCGTGGAAGATGTTAAAGGACGCCCAGGGTTCACCTCGCCTTCCTTTCCCAGCATCCTCTCAGCCCCCCCCCCCCCAGGGATGGCACATGTTATCCTGGCATGGGCTCTGCTGTCAGATGAAGGCCTGACAATGCTTGTGTCTGGTTCAGAGGATGCCAGGCTGGGCACAAACACGAGCTTTGCACTCTGCGTCTGCCAGCTGCCAGCAAGCAGCCGGCTCTACCTTCTCAATCCCTCTCAAGTCCTCCCTCCCTCGCCATCATCACTGCCACCATGAAAAGTAATGGACCAAACAGAGAAACAAACGTGCTGCCCTCGAGGCCATGCCCACTCCTGGAGACCCTATCGGACAGGGTGGAACGCGCCCTGTGAGTTTTCGAGACTGTTAACTCTTTGGGGAGTAGAAAGCCTCGTTTTTCTCCCACAGAGCAGCTGGTGGGCTTGAGCTGCTGATATTGCAGTTAGCAGCCCAACCTGGAACCCGTGGATGCCACTCAACTAATCTGGGTGCATTACAGAGGGGGGTCAATGACTCCTATGCACTGAATTCCCACTGAACTCTGTGGGAAACAGAGGATTTCTCCCGAGTTCTCTCCCCCAAATATATGCCAAACTTAGCTGCTTGCAAATGACTATACACTGGAGGTCATCAGAAGTAGGTCAGGGTCATTCTCCCTAAGGGTTATCAGCCATCTAGACCAAGCAGGCACCACTGTTTATCCCACAACAAATAGGGCCCACTCCCTTCTGATAAGGATAGTAGTTGTCTGTTTCCTTGTAGGAGATGCCAGAGAGGTCAAACCCGCCCTAGGATGACCAAGGTTAGGCTACCATCATGAATCTAGGGTCCGCCCATCTTGTCACATGTATACCCCTAGACCTTCCGGTTCCTATGGGCACACCCCTAGCTCATCCCCTTCTTGTTACGCTTATGCCTATCATAGATCCCCTTCCTACAATGTGTGTACCTATTGTACTGCCCCTTCCTGTGATGCGTGGTTACCTGTAATCATGCCCCCTGAGGGAGATATAACCCTTGGTTAGCAATAAAGTGGGGGCTCTCTCCTGCTCTCAAGGCCGGGCTCCCCCCACGAGGAGCACCAAGCGGGGCTGAGGTGAGCATGCTACCATGAAACGTGTCTGACTCCATTATTTGACTCTTCTATCTCTCATGCTCTCCAAGACTTTACTATAATCTTTATTTAGTATCGCTGTACAATCGCGCCTACCGGACCTGTGATGATTTGTTGGGGACTCTCCTTGCCCCACAGATAACTGCCGTATGTAAAGACTGATCAGCACCTTGTACCCCCGGGTCTTATGAAATTCTTACTACAAAGCTTTGTGACAAATCCCAACCCCACTGCCCTTGAGTCAACTCTGCGCAATTGCTCCTCTGTAGGAAGTTTTTTACAGACGCCAACCGCCGCCTCTTTCTCCTGCAGAAGGCCTGGTGCATTCACAGCCGAGCGCCTTATCCACTGTTCCACTAGAGGAGGATTCGACACTGTGTACCCCATCCTACAAATGGGGAGACTGAAACGTAGAGGTCCGAAATAGCAAGATCATGGTCCTTACAGCTGAGGTTAGAAAACCTGGGTTTCTCTGCAGAGACAAGATGCATTAGACTTAATTAAATCCAAAAAGTATTTTTTTGGACATCTATTCTCTGACCAATATTCTCCAAAATTCTTCGAACACAGCAGCACATGACAATTTTTATATACAATATACAGCAACATGTATAGAATGTGCATCTATGTAATTGCTGTTATTGGAGATAGATAGGCATGTGTTCTTTTAACCTCTGGGCAGCAATTATATATGTATATATATAATTTCTAACCTCTACTTCTGTGTAACTTGTCCTAGGTCATAACAGCTGAGCCCCGATGACTGGGGGAGGGCAGGGAGTGAAAAAATTACAAAAATATGATTTTAAGGGGATTGGAATCTTTAAAATAGAATTCCAATTTTATGACCATTGGAATCCTTAAAATAAAAACCTGTGGAATCAGCCAGGGGGGAAGTAAGCTAAAAGTGCAGGGAAGGAAGAGCTCCTTCTAGCATCGAGGGAGCTTCAGATTCAGAAAAGCCATCCTTAAAAACCAAGCACCAACCAAAGGTGAACAGCATCAATGAAACTCCATCCCAGTCACAGCCCAGCTCAGTCCTAAAGAAAGAGAGAGATTCTTTGGTGGAAAAAAGCATTACATCATTTTTGTGTGAGTCATTTACACACAATACCGAGTGTACAACAAGCTCAGGAGGCACTCCACCAAAGGCAAACAAAGATCTACAAATGACATCAATTTTGAACGTTGCCAACAAAGGAAAAGTAATTAGAGTGAATATATTCAAAATAAAGGAAATTATACACAAGGGATAAACATGGAAACTGTTCATCAGTAATATGTTTTAATAGTCATATGACTGAAACACTCAATGAAGACCTCACTGGTTTTAAGAGCCAACTAGATAAAGCAGAATACAGGATTAGTGATGCAGAAGACAGGTCAATATCTGAACAAAGAAGAGCCAAACCAAAGCACACAAGTTAAATAGAACGAACATGACAGAGCCAACCACATGGAGCATGATGGACCGGCCAACATGAGTGTAACTGGAGCGCCACTAGGAAGGAACAACTTCTGGAGAAGGGATTGTAGAAAGTCAGTTTGAAAGAGGGATATTCCAGCGAGGTGGAGGATTGACATAATGGCTCCAGCAATGGGCTCAAACACAGGAACGATTTGACGGTGCAGGACCAGACATTTGTTCTTTTGTGCATGGGGGTCACTATGCATTGAAACTGGCCAACAGCACCTGGCAACAACAAGAGAGAAAAAAAGAGATTCTTGAATGTCAGAGCAAACCAGCCTCTGACAACCGAGGGGTCTGTAGGTGCAATTGTACTGTTAAAATGTATGAAGATAATAGTAAAGCCATAGAAGACAGGAGAGCTGGGAGGGAGAATAAAATAAAGGAGGCAGACACATTTATGGTGGCATGCGCCCCTCTGGGATGGCCATGACCTCAGCAGCCAGGTCTGTACGCAGAGAGGAGAGTATATTTCTAACCAAGGATTATATACATTTTAGGGGTGTGTAAGCCCCCCTGATTACAGGTAACCACCTACGTCACAGGAAGGGGCTGTGCAACAGACATGACAGGAAGGAGATGAGCTAAGGGTGTACACGCAATAGGAAGGGGCTAGACTAGGGGTACACAAGTGACAAGATGGGCAGACCCTAGATTCAAGATGGCAGCCTAACCTTGGTTCTCCTTGAGCGGGCTTGAACTTGTCTCTGGGCTCTCCTTCAGGGAAACAATGCACTATCCTATCAGCAGGGAGGGGGCCCCACCTATGGTGGGACAGACAATAGGGTCTGATTGCTCTAGATGGCTGATGCCCTCAGGGAGAATACCTCAAAGCCGCTAACCACCCACCGTGCTCCAGCAAGCAGCATCCGAGGTTGGGCATGTATTTGGGGGGGACATTCCACCTGGGGGGAAAAAACCTTTCTGTATCCCACACTTGAAAAGGCAATATTTAAAAAGGGGATTTCCAAAAATAATGAAAGATACCAACCTACAAGTACAAGAAACTCTATGAATTCCAGACCAGAGAATGCCAAGAAAACTCACCTGGGCACATTATAGTCCAACCACGAAAAGACTCAAGGCAAAGAGAAGATATTAAGAGTAGCCACAGGAGAACGTGACTGTGAGTGAGTTTTTGTGTCTACTTGGCTGGCCCAGAGATCTCCGAGGCTGGCAGTTGAGGCCCCGCTATGATGCCATCTAACACAACAGTCAACTCCATGATGGGCTCTGCTGAGCGCCAAACAGTGCCTCAGGTCACAGCCCTGGTGAGATCTCCTCAGAGACCTCCTCGATACGTTGGTAGACATTGTGGGGCATTTCTTCTTCTTGCTGCTCTGGATCCCACAGCTGTCAAGAATCTCGGATTCGATCTGGGACCGTTTGTCTAAAAGGCTGGAGGGAGTAGGCGAGGGTTTGTGATTGGCTATAGCGTCTGGGAGGCGGGGCCTTCAGGTAACCAAAACCCCTCCTCTCCTTGCTCCAGCCTGAGACTGCTCAGGGCTTGCTTCACTTTCTCAGAGGGACTCGGCGACCCAAGAGCTGATTCCTCGGGACGAAGCTGCCAGAAGAGCTCTGGAAGACAGTTGGAGGCCAAGAGTCCCTACTGTGGGTGCCTCGGGTGCTGTGCTGACAATGAGTGGATGCTTCCCAGTCGTCGGCCTCCGAGGCCTGTCTGGGGAAGGCGGGATGGCTGCGCAGGGTGCACCGAGATTCCTCTTGACCTTCGACTTCGACGAGACCATCGTGGATGAAAGCAGCGACGACTCGATCGTGCGCGCCGCGCCGGGTCAGCGGCTGCCGGAGAGCCTGCGAGCCACCTACCGCGAGGGCTTCTACAACCAGTACATGCAACGCGTCTTCCAGTACCTGGGCGAGCAGGGCATGCGGCCCCGGGACCTGCGCGCCGTCTACGAGGCCATCCCCCTGTCGCCTGGCATGGGCGACCTGCTCCAGTTCGTGGCCGAGCAGGGCGCCTGCTTCGAGGTAATTGTGATCTCCGACGCCAACACCTTCGGCATCGAGAGCTCGCTGCGCGCCGCCGGCCACCACGGCCTGTTCCGGCGCATCCTGAGTAACCCCTCGGGCCCGGACTCGCGGGGGCTGCTGGCGCTGCGCCCTTTCCACACTCACAGCTGCGCGCGCTGCCCTGCCAACCTGTGCAAGCACAAGGTGCTCAGCGACTACCTGCGCGAGCGAGCCCAGGACGGTGTGCACTTCGAGCGCCTCTTCTACGTGGGCGACGGCGCCAACGATTTCTGCCCCTTGGAGCTGCTGGCGGGGGGCGACGTGGCCTTCCCGCGCCGCGGCTACCCCATGCATCGGCTCATCCAGGAGGCGCAGAAGGCCGAGCCCAGCTCCTTCCGCGCCGGTGTGGTGCCCTGGGAGACGGCCGCCGACGTGCGCCTCCACCTGCAGCAGGTGCTGCAGGGGTGCTGAGGGCGGCCGCCGCAGGGGGCGGCAAGTGGGACAGACTGACTTATGGATGATGCCCCTTTCGCTCGCTTGGGGACCGCACTGCTGCGGGGGGTTGCGGCCTCTTCTCCTTGGGTTCGGAGCGGTCGCCATGCAGTTCTCCAGCTCTGCTGCAACCGTTACATCCCGTGCTCGGCCACCCGAGGCGGGGCGGGCTCCTTGGAAGGTTGTCGGGCTTCCGTGGCAGAGGCGAGAAGTGGCATGTCCCGCTGCTTTAACTGCCCCTTCCCTGGTCTGCTCTCAAGGAGACCTAGTGTCCGGAAGTCCTCTAGGGCCCAGCCACCTATGGTCCACGTGACTCCCATCGGAGAGAAGATGGCACCCTCCGCCGACGGCCCCAGCCCCCCTCTTCGACCTTGCTTCACCCACCGTGGTCTCACACTACAGTGAGCCCTCGCCACTTCGCGCTTCGACTTCCGCGGCTTCACTATCGCGGTTTTTGCGTAACAGCGCATGCTCTGTCATTACTGCCACTGATTGGCTCATACTGTAACGTCCAAAATGTTTTACTGTATTTTTCCTTTTTCGTTTAATAAATTGGGTAATACGAGTGTAATGGTGACTAAAGGGTGTTTTTTCATGTCCTCTATGCTCTAACTACGAAAATATTTGATTTACAAATAAGGAATCCTACTTCGCGGAATTTCATTTATCACGGTAGGGTCTAGAACGGATTAACCGCGATAAACGAGGGTTCACTGTATTGCTAAACAGGCATCCCACCCACCCACCAGCTCCCCGCCAAAGGAAAACAAGCCAGAGGAAACAGTCACCTCCTGGTGGCGGCACGAGGTAGCGCACCGTCCGGCTCCGAGGACCTGGCAGCCTGCGGCAGTGCCTCCTCTCACCCCCAGCCTCGTCTATGCAGCAAGAGACCAGGGACTTTTACCAAAGTCGCCCCGTGAGCTAGGTCCTCTGAGCCTCTCTGCCCACCCCCATGTGGAACAGGAAGTCATGTTTTTAAGCAGAGCCAGCAAAACTCCTCCCTCTTTGGTGTTCGGAGCTATAAAGAAGGTGAAGGGGGGTGGGGGTGGGGGGAGAATCCACCATATTGCCCACCAAGCCCGGGAGCCATCAGAGCCTGCCATCCTCGGATTCGTTTGACACTGCCAGGCACAGGCCCAATCTGCATCATCTCCCTGCTTCCTGGACTGCTGATCCTGGCAGCTGCATGGTTGCGGATGAGCTTCACAATTGACCCACAGACTTGAACTTGACCGGATTTACCCATTCCTACAACTGTGAGGGCCATCTTTCGTGATCTAAGCTCCCCTCTTTAAGATAAGCCTCGCTGGTTTTGCGTCTCCTGAGAACCCAACCTAATACAGTTACCTTCAGAGGAGCAAGTCTAAGACGGATAACTGACTTGTTAAGAAAAACGATGGAAGCCAAAAGATGATGAAACAACATCTTTAAAATGTATTTTTTAAATCCTTCACCTGTGACGATTGCCGCAATCTAGTAGAATAAATAATAACAACTAGATGAACAGAGAGACATTTTCAAGTGATAATGAGTGCTTACGATCAAAGTAAATTGGGATCATGGAACAGAGATTAATTGGGGCTTGGTGTTTGTCCTCGGGCTCTGCGTGTTGAGTCCATATTGAGACAGACACCCCTGAGCGCTCACCAAACAGCCAACCCTGCACGGACCATTTCCAATGTGACTGACCATCCAGGTGTCTCCTGCCAGCTTCCTCTTTAGTTTTTCAATCATTCAGCACAAGCCATTCAGTCCTATACCGACCTGGCACTGTGCTGTGTATAGGGACACAGAAATTCAGACTAGCCACTGGCCTTGGAAGATAGCTACCCTTCTGGAGTTGACAGTAGGCAGTGTGTTAGTCTGGGTACTTTAGAGAAACAAATCCACAGAAACTCATGTATAAGAGAAAGTTTTATATAAAGGTTAAGTGAGCATCAAAAAAACATCCCAATCCAGTGCTGCCAAAGCCCACAACTCCAACATTAACCCATATGTCCAACACCAATCCACAAAGTCCTCCTCCATCTCACAAAACAGACGCAATGATACTGACTGCAGGAGGAAAGCCGAGTCAGTGAACGTGTAAGCATCTCAGTGTTGGCAGGGATCTCCACCCGGGTGCTCCAGCACCCAGGGCTGCATCGGGGTAGGTCCACGCGGCTTCTCCTTGGGGATGTCTTGCAGGAAGGGAGCCTTGCCAGCTGAAGCACAGAACTGACTAAGGCAGCTGCACCCTGGTCCGACCATCACAAAGCTAGAGACCCAAGAATTAGAAAGGTGAGGCTCACCGAGCCATTTGTCCCTCCACCTTTCAATTAACCCCACATGTGTTTATCGGCCAGGTTGGCACAATAAACTAACTCAGGCAGTATAGATCCAGGACTGGACTCTCAGCTTGCTGATCTTTAATCCAACACCCTGTCCAGCACCATGTTGAGTCCATGTTAAGATGCCCTGGGCAATGCTCACTGAGGAATCCTCAGAACTGAGACGGCAAGGCGCTCTGTTAGATGCTCCTTCTTCCTGGAACTGCCAGTCTGGTGAAAGCCACGGGCCTGGGTACCACTGAGCCTGAAGGTCCCTCCAGTTTTGTTGCGGGTATCCAACACCCCCACTTCCAGGGATGATGACCCTGTTGCGGGTATCCAACACCCCCACTTCCAGGGACGATGACCCTGTTCAGCTCCTGTGACCAAGACAGATTTGGGATGTGGTCAGTGTCTTCAGGGTTGCCCAGCTCACAACTCGTCCAGTGTGCTGGAGAGTGCCCCTCCCCCACCTGCCCCAGGTCACTTTCAGTTCTTTGGGGCAGTCCTCCAGGTCTCACCTTTCCTCTTCCGCCTTCTTCCACAGCCTCTTCCTGCGGTGACTTGGTCAACATTCCGTAATTGATCTCTAGGCTGTAATCGTCTCTACTTTCTCACTTGACCTCTCTGGGTCTTACTATCCATTGTGATGGCAACATAGAACTCGCAGGCAAAGTTCCGGTTTAGGATTTATTCAGGAAGTTAACAAGTTGTCGTGCCAGTGAGAAACGCAGGGTAGTTGTTTATCAGGATGTTGTTACAAAGTCTCAGGTCTGCTAATATGTGGGGAGAAGAAGAGGGGGTCCCCCACAAATCACAGGTCCGGTAGATGCAATTGTACAGCAATAATCAGTAAAGATTATAGTAAAGTCATAGCGAGCATGGCAGATACGAGGGTCAAATAAGGGAGGCAGACACATTTCATGGTAGCATGCTCACCGCAGCCCCACTTGGTGGTCCTCATGGGGAGAGCCCAGCCACGAGAGCAGGAGAGAGCTTCGGGGGTGAGAGCAGGAGAGCCCACGGGGGAGCGAGGACAGGGGAGAGCCTCTTTTTTATTGCTAACTAAGCGTTATATCTCTTTAGGGGGACATGATTACAGAATCACGCGTCACAGGCAGGGGCAGTACAATAGGCATACACATCATAGGAAGGGGATCTATGATAGGCATAAGCGTAACAGGAAGGGGATGAGCTAGGGGTGTGCTCATAGGAATGGGAAGGTCTAGGGGTACACATGTGACAAGATGGGTGGACCCTAGATTCATGATGGTAGCCTAACCTTGGTCATCCTTGGGCGGGTTTGACCTCTCTGGTGTCTCCTACAAGGAAACAGACAACTACTATCCTTATCAGAAGGGAGTGGGCCACATTTGTTGTGGGATAAACAGTGGTGTCTGCTTGGTCTAGATGGCTGATAGCTCTTAGGGAGAATGACCCCTAATCTACTCCTGATGACCTCCAAGTGTATAGTCATTCTCAAGCAGCTAAGTCTGGCATATATTTGGGGGAGAGAACTTGGGAGAAAGCCTTCTGTTTCCCATACTAATAAATGCCCAAAGGGAATGCCACTCAGCTGTAAACCTCAGCCTGAAGGCATTGAGCTTAAACTTTGTGGCTCAACAAACCCAACTTCCCCCATTACATGCCCAGAGGCACCCACTCCAGGAAGCCTCAGCCCAAAGGCCCTGGGCTGCACTTCTGTGAGTCAGCTATCCAACTACCCCAATTAAATGCCCAGATGCACCCCACTCCACAAGCTGCCTCCTGCACAAAAGCACTCTGTTTTACTTGCTCTGTGGGTTGGGAGGTCCATCACTGGGTCTCAGGCTCTGGCTCCTGGTTCTGCTGCTGCTCTGATGGTGTAGCTGTCCTCTTGATCCAGGAGGTCCGCTGCACAGGGATCTCAGGTCCAGAGGGTGTGCTCCACTCCTGGCTCTTGCTAATAATGAGATCCCTCCTCCTGCTTTCAGAGGCCGATTTTTTTTAATTAAATAATTGTTATTTTCTAATATCATTTTATCGGGAGCTAATACTGATACTGTATCATTCCACATTCAATCACATCAAACCGTATTGTACAGTTGCGACCACAATCAGTTTCAAAACATTCTCTTTCTTCTTGAACTCCTTGATATCAACTCCACTTTGCCCCCTACACCCCCACCCCCACTGTACCCCAAGGAGCCTTTATTCTACTTGCTGTCTCTACAGGTCCATCAATGAGAGGGCTCATGGTATACACAGCAGGATGGCACTCCATGTAGTCTAGTTCGTAATTACTCACAGGTGAATCCTATTAGTGTCTTACCCAGACTTCTGACCAGATCCATTGGTGCAGGGAAGGTCCTTTGGGGGGAGTTAGAGACGATGGCGAGAAGAGCCACGTGAAGTCATTCACTGCCGCTGTCCTTCTGGTCTTCAAACAGGGCCTTCGGATCCCAGCGTCAGCACCATTTCCCCTGGAAGCCTGGCCGGACCATCCATACCCAGGGGCGTGACATGCTTCTCTCCAAAGGCAGCGTCCCTCCTCCCCTCTGAGCTACCCGATCCCGAAGCTGATGGTCTCCTGAGGCTGTCGGTGGTACCGCTGGACCCTAGCCCAGTGTCTGGCACTGCGCCGTTAGCCAAAATGTTTGCATGACTTAAGAAGGAGGTCGCCAACGCTCA